TTGTTTATTTTATTTCACTCTATATTTTTTCAAGCGAAATACAAATTATTAAAAGTGAAATAAATGTAAAACTTAACTCGTTTGCGACTTTAAAATAGCGTACTTGATTTGATTGTTTTGCATGTGCTGTTTGGCGCTACATTGTGAAGTCATGTAAACAACACTTTAAACGTCTGTACAGTGTTAACGACTGAATTAAAGATATTGGTGTTCAGATTCATTTTCTTAGTTAGATCATTTTCTTTCATTCTAGATAGTTTTTACAACAAAATTCGACAAAAAATTGTTTTTTATTTATCAGATTTTTCAAACAAAATGACGCCATCAATGTGAAAAACACAGGGAGGTAATAAGAACGGCGAGTGCATTGTTGTAGAATAATGCACGCTTTGGGCCTTCTTTGTTTATATAGAAAGAATTCCGATAGTGTTAGAATAATGAATCAATATAATGTTAGTAACACAATAGGTTAGTCACATAACTAAAGACTGTTTCAAAATATGACAAAGGAATGTGTGATCAAGTTCTTTATCAAACTAACAATGTATATATTTCAAACAATCATATAAATAATAACCTGTCCCCAGCAGTAGATCAATGTTAAAGGCCTGTTTCTAGGGGCAGATCAATGTTAAAGGCCTCTTTCCAGGGGCAGATCAATGTTAAAGGCCTCTTTCCAGGGGCAGATCAATGTTAAAGGCCTCTTTCCAGGGGTAGATCAATGTTAAAGGCCTCTTTCCAGGGCAGATCAATGTTAAAGGCCTCTTTCCAGTGGTAGATCAATGTTAAAGGCCTCTTTCCAGGGGTAGATCAATGTTAAAGGCCTCTTTCCAGGGCAGATCAATGTTAAAGGCCTCTTTCCAGGGCAGATCAATGTTAAAGGCCTCTTTCCAGGGGTAGATCAATGTTAAAGGCCTCTTTCCCAGGGCAGATCAATGTTAAAGGCCTCTTTCCAGGGGTAGATCAATGTTAAAGGCCTCTTTCCAGGGCAGATCAATGTAAAGGCCTCTTTCCAGGGGTAGATCAATGTTAAAGGCCTCTTTCCAGGGCAGATCAATGTTAAAGGCCTCTATCCAGGGCAGATCAATGTTAAAGGCCTCTTTCCAGGGGTAGATCAATGTTAAAGGCTCTTTCCAGGGGTAGATCAATGTGAAAGGCTCTTTCCAGGGGTAGATCAATGTTAAAGGCCTCTTTCCAGGGGTAGATCAATGTTAAAGGCCTCTTTCCAGGGGTAGATTAATGTTAAAGGCCTCTTTTCAGGGCAGATCAATTTTAAAGGCCTCATTCCAGGGCAGATCAATGTTAAAGGCCTCTTTCCAGGGGTAGATCAATGTTAAAGGCCTCTTTCCAGGGCAGATCAATGTTAAAGGCCTCTTTCCAGGGGTAGATCAATGTTAAAGGCCTCTTTCCAGGGGTAGATCAATGTTAAAGGCCTCTTTCCAGGGGTAGATCAATGTTAAAGGCCTCTTTCCAGGGGTAGATCAATGTTAAAGGCCTCTTTCCAGGGGTAGATCAATGTTAAAGGCCTCTTTCCAGGGCAGATCAATGTTAAAGGCCTCTTTCCAGGGGCAGATCAATGTTAAAGGCCTCTTTCCTGGGGTAGATCAATGTTAAAGGCCTCTTTCCAGGGGTAGATCAATGTTAAAGGCCTCTTTCTTGAAGCAAATTGATGCCAAAGGCTTGTTTCAAACAACAAATTGACTGTTAATTTACAATTTCTTGAGAATGACAGATATCAATAATTTACCATGCGGTTTCTGGCTGCGATGAAGACATTTGTGGGTACCAGCAGAAGTCATACACAGTATCAGCTTCCTTCATATTAAGCACTGGTTTCTATATAAGGAAAGGAAACAAAAAGTATACATAACTGTTATAAATAATAAGGAAAGACTGTTCTGTTGACTAGAAAATTGTTTCTTAACATTTTTGTTAAACATTGGAGGGAGTTGTGATATTACATATGTTATTTTTCTCAGATAGGACAAAGTTTATAACCTCCCTTGAAAAAAGTGGGGGTCAACCTGCGAGACATTATTCAGCATAAATGACAAAATATGAAAATAAATAATAATAATAATGAAAAAAAAACCTACATGTTTTAGGTGAATTGTCCAATTCTTTTGCATGTGTGATGAAAAAAAAGTATTGATATCACACCAATATGAAAATATTTTTTCTCAGCATACAAATTACATATAATTTGGTTTGGGGGAAAATACCCCCCCCCCCCCCAAAAAAAAATAGCAGCCAAGGGCGGTAATAAAATTCATGTAAAAAGCATCAATAATTGCTTTTAATAATTCAACTTGTTGCATGATTTTTTTTCAAATTTATTTCCAGTCCATATTACTTCAGGTATGAATTTAATCAGAAGGCAAACAACAGGCATTCTCATCAAAGGTAGAAGAGAAAGAGTGTGTCAAACATCTTTGACATGCACCCACAGGGCACTGGTTTGGTTGTTTTTGGTGCCGAATATGGGTACCATTCCCCTCTCAAAATCATATGTATTTTTCCCCTATTTCAGAACACAAATCCCCTCCAAAGTTCAAAATAAAATAACTTAAAGTAATTTGTTTTATTTGTTAGTCTTCATTAAAAAATATATTAGCTATTGATTTCAATGGTAGGAAAATAATACTGTAATGAGTAAGTGTGAAAAAAAAATACACTAAATACATGTACATAATAACATATAATTCCGAATTTTGCCTTCAAATACTGCAAAATTCCCCTTTCATAGGGTATGGGTACCTGTCCCAAAAAGGTGTCTAGTGCCCTGACCAATTAAAGTACATTAATAGACACAGATTAATCATCTATATATGGAATTACCAATTCATCTATGATCTTATTTTCTCCACCACTGTAGTACAGCTCATCTGGTAAGTTAAACAGCTTGAGCTTGTTGTCATTGCTGTTTGTGAGGATGCATGTACCATCTGGAGCCCTGAAATATATCAACAATATCAATAACAATCATAACATTTGTTACTATTGAACATGTAATTGTCAGTGTTGACTTTATTATAAACACAAGAATTTACTTCAGGTTGTATACTACTAATACATTAACTTCACTTTAAAGAGTATTTAAAGGTCCATAAAGTCTAAATGATTGCCATATTTTTTATTTCGAATCTCAAAAGCTTTTTCATTTTGGTGCCCTGATTTAGTTTCCAAATGCTATTCATTGGCCATATAGCCCAAACGTCCAAACTAAATTCATAATTGAAACTAAAGTTTTCTTTCTACACATACCATTTACATCCTCGAAGATAGTTTTTGTTTTCAGAGTCTTTGAAACATTCCCATGCTCCAGTCAGCTGTCTTGGGGGACCTTTAAACTCAAAAGCAGACAACCTAAAATATAAGATAAAATTATTTCTCTTCTCTAAGTGCAAGTTAAGCAAAATATTACCCATATGAAGAAATTATCCTGAGAAGTTATTTAAATGGCATTTATTTAGTTATTAATTATTGTTATTAATTATTATTTAGTTTGAACTTTAATGATATGTAAAGGTATATAAATAAACCTGAGGAAGCTTTCCATGTCTGTGTCTTTTGAAGGAGCACTTTCTTCAGTCTCTGGAACTATAACAACATCTGATGATGCATTTGAGTTATCTTTAACTTCAGTGAGGTCAATAGAAATATGATCAGTTTCCAACTTAAGCCTCTTTGCAACTGGTTGGTCACAATTATGTTCATCCAATGAGCTCATTGAAGTAATTGACTCTATTGCACATTCTTTACTATCCTCTCCTTCATTTGTGAGATCAACAGTTACATCTCCATCACCTATGGGAGGTGATCTTGAGTTTTCTGCACTAGAACCAGATGGAATTGTCACAATATCAACAGAATCAGATTTTGTCAGATCTATACTTGTAGTTGCTGTAGCTCTAATTTCAGTATTGGCTGAACAATCTGTCTCAGGTATAGTGTTAACGTTTGAAGTTACTTCATCTAAAAGTCTGATAGTAGCTTCTTTATATTCACTTAATGACAGACCCGCCGACTCGTTTTCTTGTGATGCAGTATCACGTTTTACTAGTTCAACTACCACTTCCTTTGATTCATCCATTGGTTTACAGTCATCACATTGTAATTGATCACTTTGTGATCCTCTCAATTGCACAACACCGTTGTCAGCACTATTTTCCCCATAGGAATTTGAAGCGTTCTCTTTTTCCATGTCTGTCCGAATTGTGTTCAAGTTCCCAGAAGAGTTGTCTTTTTAAGTACTCAATATTTCTGAATTATCTGACATTGTCAATCGGTATTTCAAAGTGATTAAGTAGAATACTTCTCACTGGCGAAAAATCACAATTTTCTATCTCATATCCGACCTAAAATAAGGTAAATAATATTAATGAAATCCATGCGTAACGGGCGCAGCCATTTTGAAAATATATCTAATTCCCGTAATGTAGGAGGTAGGCGGTCCGAGCCATTTCCGGAATATTCCGACAATAACATTAATTAATTATATTAAATTATTTTTATCACTGCAGCTAGTTTATATCAATGTTATCGGCGTGTCAATTCTGAAACCTTTCATACACCTCAAAGTAAATACATATTCATGATAGACATTATTTCTACTCGGCTACATGATGAAAATATAAAAGATTGTTAAATTAGTTCATTACAAAACTATAGAAACATGGTCAAACACCTTTATTTATCACAAGAATCGTGGCAAATTGTTATAATTGTATTGTAATATATTTATATTTTGCAAATATATTGTTTTATTAATAAATATCGTAAATATTTGCAGAATTTATTTGTTGTGTCTGCGTCAATCTATATTAAATGCCACCTACAAGCTTTAGTAACTGCTAACTTGCTTACGTCGTCAAAAAGATCCAATGTTTCACATTGTAAATATTCTATAAAAGCCATTTGACAAAGTTAACAAAAGGACAAACAAATTACCAAAAGAGCAGACCTTGAAGTTTGTAACATCAGATTGGTCATAATTACCATGTCATAATTCGCATAAGTGGTAATATTTGTAAAGACTCTTTGGTATATTATGTCTCAAATGTTAAACTTATATCGAAAATTCAACAAACGTGTATTTATGCAATTTGTATTGCCAAACAAGAAAGGTTAAATCTTTAAAATAGTTTTAATTATTCGCATTTTACAGCAATTAGTCTTACACTTCAACTAAAGGTAAGAGTTTTTCTTTTCTTTTTATTTCATGACACAGCACGAGAATTCATCAAAAAAAATTCGTCATTGTGAAACAATTTATTCAGCTTGTAATAAGATGATAGTTTCAAGTTTTTATTGTTGTTTTTTTTTTTTAAAAAGATTTCCAGAAACAGAGTTTTATCTCTATAGGAAAAGAAGGCGATGAATGCGAAAAAGTTTCAGTCTTTTGAATATTTAATTAGTCAGTATTGTGTTTCAACATTAAACGTTCAGTGTAAAAAACAACAACAAGACGTTTGCAAGACGATATGTGTAATTATTCCCAAAATTTTCAGAACTTTATTCATGTACACACATGACAATATGAGCTATAGCATACATACATACAGTACATAAAGAGGCGTAGCATATTAAACATGAAAATGATGATACTAATACAATGTAATAAAAAAATACAAATCATCTTAATGCAATAATGATGACAATGAACAGATATGTAGGAATGTTATCTATTCTCAGTTTTATGATTATTTCCTTAACAAATAAACAAAAATATATTTGTATTCACTATAATGATTTATATTCATATTCATAATAGATATAAAAGTTGATATATTTGGATGTCCTAAAAATCGTTCAGCACGACATTACTGTTATGTTTGTGGTACTTTTAGTTGTCACTTTTCGGCTTTCAATAGTTGGGTGGATCTATTATTCCTACTTGAATAATGTTGAATCACCCTAAAGATATGTTGCCTGCTTTTTGTATTTTCTGATCGCAGATCAAGAAATACAATGCTGATATTCAATCTCTGGCACAGAATTTCACGACAAATCTAACAAAAAGTAGTTTTCAAAACAGTTTAAAACTATCGATGTAAAAGAAAGAAATACAATGTAGTTTTATTAACAAATAACAAAGCATTCAAAGTTAAAAAAGTTAAAAAAGTAGCATTGGCTTATAGAATTGTCAATAAATGCATCATCACAAATTACGCGGATGAATATCATGTTTATCAATGAAAATGCTTTTTTTAGCGATGTCGATTACCGAATACATCAGAGCATAGTGACTCTCGATTAGTGGAGTTGATACATGTCGGACTGTTTTGGCGAGAAGATTTCCGCTAAATTACTTACTTCAGTGTTAAACAACAGGTTTATCGTGAACAAAATACCTCGAAATTAATAAGGATAACAAACCCGAAATGGAAATTCTAAATTTAGAATTATGTGATTCTATTCAGGCTTTCTTCGTATAACTTCCCGTGGTGCAGAGGTAACGTGCTCGTTTAGGGTGGGAGAGGTCAGGGGTTCAAGTCCCAGTCAGGCAACTTTTTTTTTTCTTATTGATTAGTGTCTTTTTTAAGGTAGTAGCCACGATATGCAAGTGTGGCTGTCATAAAAATGAGCATGAATGATTTTTTGATGCAGCTCTAGTCATGCAAAATTCCGTATGTATCAAACTTAAACTGTTATAGTAAAACATCTAAATGCAGTCACTGCATATCGGTGCCCAGCAAGATGACTTATAGTATATTAAAATAAACTTATACAGGAAAATACATACAGATATACAGTACGATTAAGTTTGCAAAAATCAGAAAATACCACAGAGCTTGCAGCCCATTGATTACATTTGTCTTTTGACGTCTTGTCTGTGATATACAGACTTCATAACCGCTGATCCCCCTCTCAAAATTCTATTTAATTTAGTTCCGCCCAATGTTTTCTCATTTAGGGCACACACATTCTTTCACTTGGGGCCATACGCCACTTTTAATGTCAGTCATTATTAATTAAATCTGACAAATTTTGCTTCACATTAGCAACCAACCACTTACGATTAGGAAACATCTAATAGGTCCATACATTAGGTTTTCCACATTTAACAAGTACATTTTTGATATTACTCCACAAAAATGTTTGTCTATTAACATTGCTACTTGTATTATAAGATTCAGGAGCTATTTATAAAATGTCATACGCCATACAATTTGGTGTACTAGATTTAAGGTAACATGTCTGTTCATATATTTCAATTATACCCTATCAAGTAATTATACTGTTATAACCATATCCCCGGCATTCACAACCGTACAATAAAATTGGTTTAACAAGTTTATCAAACAAATCTATTATCTCCGTATAGCTATCAGAGCCCAAGGTTAAAATTTCATTTAACAAACTGGGAATTTACGTATAGCAAAATCGTTCAATGCACAAAATGCACAGACTAGATAGTATGCATATTAGAAGCAGTTAATGATGCATGAAGAACCCCTTTTCTGTTAAGAATGTCTGATTCGACAAAAATGGCGTTTCATGACATAAATGTATGTGATATTTGTAGATAAAATGAAATTATGGAAGACTTGTTAAGTAAGTCTATAGCTTAAAGATTTTGGACTGGTTCAAACAATATTAAAAGAGAAAGTATGGAAAATTTTAGCAAGAAATTAACTAAAGTCGACGGTTATTATGATATTATGACAAACCAGCTAAACATAACAGATCAACATTAAAAAAGGAGACAAAAAATGAATAAAAAGAATAAAATAAAAAACAAATGACGAGATGAATGTTGTGCTGAATGTCTATCCAGTTTCGAACCCCAGCTCGACGTTCGAAAAGGAGACAAAAAAAATAAATAAATAAATAAAAACGAATGAACGAATGTCGACCTAAATGTTGTGCTGAATGTTGAGCCAGCTTCACATCCTACTCGACATTCAAATCTGTGACAAAGACGAATGTCGAGCTGAATGTTGTGCTGAATGTTTAGCCAGCTTCAGATACTAGCTTGACGTTCAAACGGAAAACACACAATAATGTCGACCTGAATGTTGCGCTGAATGTCTAGCCAGATTCACATTCCAACTTGACATTTGAAAATGAGACAGAAATGAATGTCGAGATGACTGTTGTTCTGATGTCTAGCCAACTTCACATCCTAGTGGCAGGTCGGCATTCAAAAAGAGGACACAAAACTAAAGTCGAGCTGAATGTTATGCTAAATGCCTAGCCAGATTCACATTCCAGCTCGACAATCGAAAAGGAAACACAAAACTAATTTCGAGCTGAATGTTGTGCTGAATGTTTATCCAGCTTCACATCCCAGCTCGACATTCGAAAAAACACACAAAAAAAAACAAACAAACCAAAAACATTTCTAGTAATTACTAATGTCTCTAGCTCAACGGTGATAAATCGAATGTCGACCTGAATGTTTTGCTGAATGTTTTTTAAGCTTCCAATCCCATCTCAAAATCGATAAATCGGATGTTGAGCTAAATGTTTAATGTCGATCTATTTGCCAACTTAATGGACTTCTTAAGTGTATGTTTCAGGTCTGTACAAAAAGATTGACTGAATGAGCTATTATGTACGTCGGTCGTTGACTTCAAACCACTTGCCCCTTAAAGCTGTGGGTTCGAATTCCGACAGTGACTTTGGATTCTTTCATGTGAGGAAACTATCCAGCTAGTTTACGGAACGTCGGTGGTTCTACTCAAGTTCCCCGTTCGTGCCCGAATTAATGCACGGATGGGCACCTAAGGTCTTCCTTCACCAGTAAAGCTGGAACGTCGCGATATGACCTATACAGTGTCGATGTGACGTAAAACCCAATCAAACAAACAAAACAAGACTATAATGTACGTCAAATGGCGGTCAATTTGAAAATGACAGCCATCTTGAAAGAGCAGATATAACTTTGGGCCCACTTCTCTTTCGAAATTTTCATGGTCTAAAAATGATTTCCTAAAAGTTTCATGCTTGTATCACCATTTGCACAGACCTTTTTCCCGCCCCAATAATAGTATACGTTGTTCTGTATAATACTGATTTCTTTTCTGTACAACTAGTACACAGAAGTCAAACCTTTTTAGTGGACGAGACGCTATCCTGGTCTTAAATAGGATTTGCGCATAAGAACTCTTCATATTAGTGCAAAAGAATAGTTTTTGTGCTCAAAAAGTCTAATTACACCATATTATTGCATCCTACTATTTTAATTTACTTTTTCATTGCACAGTGTTTCTTCTAGTGCAATAAGGGCTCGATATCGGCTTTTTGGACTCTGAAAATGAGAAAGAGGCCAGTGATATAGTATTGATGTCTTGGACTCGGAAAATGAAAATGGGGCTAGATATTGAGTACCATAAAGAAGTGATATGACATTTTTGGCTGGTGAAATAAATACAAGGCTAAATTGATAAAGTTTTGATCCAATAATTTGCATGCTTTCCGTTCACATAATTCCTGTCATTCAATATTGTAAGGTACCAAAAAGTGGTCGTTTGATTTCATTTGATGTCTTATACAAAGATGGTTTTAAAGTGTGCACTTTTATATCATTATATAAGTTAAGCGAAAGTGTTTGCTTTATTTTAAAACATATTCCATACCTATTTGGACATTCACAATAACTTGCATACAAAGATGTAATAATAAAAATATTTCCATGCGTTCTTGTTTCGCTGCATTGGTGCAATTATGTTGTACTGGTAGCTTAATTAAAACAAATTATTGAACGATACTGCCAGTATCATGATGGCAAATACTAAGTACCAACTTAGTATAAATTGTTCAGTTTTTTCATCAATATTTAATATGTTTCTATTCTATTTATATTCCAGAATGGCTCAAAATAGGAAAAAAGTAATTTTGGTAGGGAAAATTGGTAACGGAAAAAGTTCACTGGGTAATAATCTACTTCGAAAGAATTATTTTTCCGAAGGGAGTGGATTCAATGCTATGACAACGAAATGTCAATTGGAGAAACGTGGACAATTTGAAATTGTTGATACGCCAGGACTTTTCGACACCAGTCAAAACCGAAATGTTGCTCGACAAGCCGAAAAAATCCTAGATGCTTTGAAACTTTGCCCGGCACCGCATGCCTTTTTAATAGTAATCAGATACAGTAGATTTACGGCTAAGGAAGTTACTGCTTTGGATGTGTTGCCAATAACATTCGGAGAGCAATATTTTGATCATGCCATTGTCGTCGTTACTCATGTAGACAATGATGTAACTGACGCCGATTTTAGGAACGCTTGCCGTGAATCACACAAGGTGAATGAGTTACTGAAACGCTGTGGGAAACGGGTTGTTAGAATCGATAATATGCAACCGAAAGATAAGAATATCAGTATTCTACTCCGGTACATAGATCAAGTATCGAAATATGGAACAGCATGCTTCAAAAATGATTATCTAAGCTGCCACGAGGAAGTGTTAAGAAGACATGCTGATCATTATGGGTACGACAGAAGGCTTGTCCATGAACAGGTTGAAATTATAGCAAAGGAAATAAGAACATTGATAGAAAAAGAAAAAAAAGAAAGGGAAGAAAAAGAAAAAAAGGAAGATCAAAGTGAAAAAGAACAGGACTACCATTGTATAGTAAAAAACAGTTTAATTTTTGGTGCAGGATTTACATGTGGCATAATATTTTCTAAATTGTAAAATTAACAGTCCTTAATTTAGTAAACCAATAGATGTACAAGTAATAAGTACACTATTTAAATACTGACACTCATTTTTTAAGAAACCGAAAATACAAACTTTATACCTGTTGACGATAATTATTTCGGTTATGATTGTAATTGGTTGACAATGGGAATTATTTTACTGTTTCTAATTATCAGAATTATATTTTCAATTATAATTTACCGCAAATGGCAAATGACTTACCTTCCATTCATAAATACATTCATTACACATTATACAAAGATTACACCTTTAATTTTGTTTCTTAATTACGATATCGGAAGTCTCATGAAGTCCTTTGTCCTTTTGTCTTCCTCTACAATTCAGGTGCAATTTCGTGTGCCTCTGCCTTTTTATGTCAAACAGAAACCTCCTTTTGTGTATTCAGAAATATGAAAAACAAGTACAGAGAAGCAATAATGAACACTTTTAGTGGTACGTTGGTTTGGTTCGATGTAATGAAATAACATCCCATTTACAAATCTATTATAAAGACAGTGAAACGGCTGACTGACAAAAGGAAGCTTTGAAATTGGAATACGTATGAGGAGGTTCCTGTTGTACGACATTGCAGATCTTGAAGGACATGGTGCCATGGAACAAGAGGAAGACTCCGATTGATATGAGCCGCGCCACGACAAAACCAACATAATGGGTTTGCGACCAGCATTGATCCAGATCAGCCTGTGCATCCGCGCAGTCTGAAGAGGATCCATGCTGTTCGCTTACAAACCCTATTACAAGTAGAGAAACTGATAGCGAACAGCATGGATCCTGATCAGACTGCGCGGATGCGCAGGCTGGTCTGGATCCATGCTGGTCGCAAAGCCATTATGTTAGTTTTGTCGTGACGCGGCTCATACGTAAAATCTCGTTTCAGAAACTTAAAGTTGCAATGAGACGCATATTTCTGAAAAGCAATGAGACGCATATTTCTGAAAATAATCATTTTGAATGCAATAAGAAAAATGATTACAAGCGTTCATTTTCGTTTATAAACATAATCTTAAAATAAATTGACGTTGTCCTCGAAATAAACAAAGTGAAAAACGAAAGCATGTATATATGCAAAAATAGAACTATAATAAAGCGGTAGATGAGCGTTACTCGACTCAAACATTACTTTAATCATACTAAATATTTAATTGTATTTACTTTAGTTGAATAAATGCTTAGCAGTAAACTTGAGAAATGTATGGAAATATTTACACTGTTGCATGTTACTGTTTAGCATATTATCTCAATAAAAACAATGAAGCTATATTCTTTGCTGAATATATTTTTCGTCCTCGTTTTACTCTTATCTATTGACTTTTTATATCGGCGACGATTTTAAGACACTCGAAGACTTTCAGGAATCTTTGGTGCCAATGGAGGGTATGACATATTTTGACATCTTTTTATGAACCTTCCTGAGACCATTGTTATTTGTCGGCGACTTATTCTCGTACACTCGCAGACTTTCAGGAATCTTGGTGAAAATGGAGATTATGACTATTTGGACGTCTATAAACCTTCTGGAGACCATTGTTCTGGCCTGCGACTGATTCTTGGACACTCGCAGACTTTCAGGACTCTTTGGTGCCAATAGAGATTATGACACTTTTAACATTTGGAAATCTTCTTGATACAATTATACTGGTCTGCGACTGAGCCTGAGGCACTCGCAGAATTTCAGAAATATTGGTGCCAAGGAGATAATGAAAAGTTTTAACGTCAATAACTCTTCTTGAGACATTGGTCTGTTACTTATTCTTGGACACTCGCAGAGTTTTATGAATAGTTGGTGCCTTAGGAGTCCAGACTATAATCATCAGGAGTCCATTGAACACATTTTTATCTCCCCTATTGCGCTGGTACAGTAACTTTGAGAGCAAAACAACCCATTTCCTCAAAATGTTTCCCATTTCTTAATTGTAGCAGTCTCACTTTTACTTTACTCGTTTAATCCCAATTGTTTTGCCAATCGAAACATCTCGGCCATTATCAATAATACAATAATAAGGCAAAAATAACCTCATTGAAAGTAGTTCTAACACGTTCTTTTAGATTTAAACAAACACAGAGGGTGTATCATTGATAATGTATAACGAATTGATATATATAACATCCAAAGGAAAATTAATTATATCGGTAAAACTATGATTGAAGATATGTATGACAAGCGTAATCAATTTCAAAATGCCCACTTAAATCCTGAATATCATTAGGTAAATATTTTGTACAAATCATAATCATAAGAATAAAATAATGTATCAATTACTTCTATATCTTTAGATACGCTCGTATACTTAATCTAGGTGGCCTTGTACCCGATATATTAATATGAATACTAGCATTCAATCACAATTTGTTTAAACGTTTAGTGTTTTAGCGTAGGTTAGACCGTATCCGTTTAGTGTTTACATACTACTGTGATCGAGGTTCTTCTCCAAAACTTGACGGAAAAGGCCGAGATGTTGCGATTGCGTATTCATCCCACTATTACAATACGTTTTATTATATAAATTTGTTGCAAAGTATTGTTGAAAGAATTGTCATTCCTAATTTATATTTGATTTCATATTTGCAGATAAATCTTTAGATAAATATCTTTTTAATTACTTGTTTAAACTTTAATGACACATTTGTCCGACATACCTTTTTGCACTACACAATGCAATTTTGCAGAAAAAATATTTAAAAATACATAATTCATAACGGAGGGGAAGAATTTATTAGAACAAACGGTAGACACGAGTTTCTATGAAATGCATTTTATATTGTCATAAAGGAGTATTAATCTATCCATGCGCAAATCGTTTTGCATCATCCGATATTTTCAGGAAAAAATATCTAAAAAATCAAAATTCTGGCATGAATTGGGGGAATCTAATTTTGTTATCTACATGCTAGCACAAACACAAAACATAAGTTTAATATAATCAATTTTGTATAGTTCCATTCAGAAGATTGCAGATGCGGACAGATGGGCAATTAAGGGAACAAGCTGACTCCAGTAATACCGTCTTCAAACTGTGTTTGACAGACTTGTTTTGTTCATTTTCTTTTTTACATTTTTCGTTTAATAGCTGTCATCCGACATTAGAAAGTACACAACGGTCTCTAAAATCGACCGTTGTCGTACGACGCGTTTCTCACGCCAATTTGGGGTAAAAATGACACAAACATAAAGTAGTCCGCGTAGGGATGAAAATCTTATTTTTATAAAACACATTATATCTTTAAGTGATTAAACTGGTTTACTTATATAGCAGTGGTCTTAAAATTTAAAATAGAATTCATAGTTCGAAAGTGTTACTATTTATTTAGGTACTGAAACCGATGGACTTTCACTAGACTAACAATAGACGAAATCAGATCTATTGCAAAGAATATTAAAATACAATAAACGAACAGCTAAATAAATTAAATAATATTATTATCTGGCGTTTAAATTTCTTTGTTTGTCGCTTTACAATTGTATTGTTAAGTCCCTTCCGTGTTCAAGCCGCCATGTTGAAAACATAGTGCTTAGGGAGGTTTCACAAAGGTCAGTAAGAGCGGTGTCATAGTGTCTAACTGACCTGTGTACATAACGGTCATCCCATATTTCAATGCACTTTTCCGTTTTCAATAAGAAATCTTGACAATTTTTCCATAACCGAAAAAGTTGCAAATTTTCCATTATCGGAATCCCTCGCCGATTGTCAAATGCTTTTAATCAAAATGGCGACGTCGAAGAAAGGAAAGTGACATGACACTCAAAATTTTATTGTTACATGCAAAATTATATGTTTACTTTATTTTATTTCTTATTTGAATTATGATCGTTTGAAAAATAGAAGCGTAGACTAAAGCCAGTGTGATATTTAAGTCTGACGTACCCTGTTGAAAATTGACCCCATTACATAAGGGTCTTTCAAACTGAAAGATCCTGACCCGATGGATCATTTTTCAATGTTGAGAACTGAACCTTGGTCATTTTTAAATGTTAACAATTGACCCTGTCAGCTATTAAACATTAAAGTTTTATTTAATTTTCATCCAAAAGGTGTTGAGAAATTATCAGTTGTTAAATTTTGATCAAATAATTGTTATTTGTACTAACGCCTGTTCGTAGAAGAGAATCGCTTAGAACAAACAAATTCTCTCTCCGGCGTCACAAGCATAACATGACCAATCCTTGGCCCATGCAAACTACTTCGGCGAGATTGGCAAGCTAATTTGTATGTTTGAGAGGGAATTGGTGTACGAAAGTTTAAGAAAATGATTCTATGTGGTCGAAGTCCGACATGCCCAACGAAAAGTTTTACATCCCTGCAATGTGGACCTAATTAAGGTATGTTTTAGGTAACAAAAAATTTGCATTTTAATTTAAGACTTGTTTATCTATTCTGCTCAACATTTCGATATAACCCTTATAACATGTATAAAATCAACAGTTTCCTGTTAATATAATCTCTGCTACATCCACCCCATCGCACATTGCTTCTAACCTTTCTTTAGTGATAAGGGAAACTAACCGTTAAGGATACATATCTCTTCGGACATCAGTTACTTCCCTTGATCAATAAAGAAAAGTTTATATTTCAATTTAATTAACACTGCTGTTGTAAATCCTTACGTTAATGTTCATTCTAAAAGGGTTAGATGTGTTTTAACTAGTGTGATATTTTTCTTGAAAAACAAAATTAATAACAGTTGAAGTCAGTCACTCTTATAATAGCAGGCGACCTTTTTTGATACCGGAAAACATAAACAAATAATGCATGTATACATTATATTGCAATGATATATACTACGCCATCGCGAACTTACATAATGCTCCCAATCGACTGTTTTTTTGTTGTTGTAACATCCCGTGGACTCAAGATAAAATATGTTTTTTATTCAAAATCTGAGACTTCGTTTGATTATCAAATAAATAATGAAGCAAAAAAAAATTGGCTGTAGTTATTGATTTATATTAAAAAAAAAAAACGTTTAAAGGTTTACTGCCAAGCTTAGTCCTGAAAATGGGATAATTTATTTTTCGTCTAAATGCTCCCACTCGGACTCCCAAACAAAATTTATTTTGTTTTCAGGCTTGTCTGACCATGTTTGAACAGTTTTCTATGGGGTCATTTTTTCTAGCGTGGGTCAGTTATTAAATAACGGGAAGGAGCCAATTTGCAAAGTCGAAAATTTATCAAAACCCGTTCAAAATTACCCATGGGGTCAATTTTCAACGGGGTCTAAATTTAATGTTTCACCGGCAAGCGAAAGCCGAACTTTCAAGTATAAATACTTTGAAAACGTTATTCAGATCAATAAATAAGGGAATACTGTTAACCGACCTTAACGATTCTACCAGGATTGACAAACGTCAATAGATCCACTATTTAACATTCTGAATATTTTTTAAAGGCTGTTAACAATTTGCCAATAAAGCGGACCTTGAAATTGGTCATATAACACATTGATTCACGATTCGCATAATAGGTGTGCTTTTATAAATCTTATGTAACCTACGTATAAAATATAAACTTAATATCGGTAGTTTAACAAACGTATATTTACTTTATTATATTATCAAATAAGGAACTCGTTTGGACATTTATTTCTACATGTTAATACGTTAAAACAGTTTCAATTATTCGTACTCCTTAACAACCATTCCTACAAGGGAACACAAGGTAAGAGGTTTTTCTCCTGTTTATTTCATTAGAGAGCACTATAAATCATCAAGAAAGTTCGTCATAGTAAAATAATATCTTCATATAGGCAATGCGACAGTTTCAAGTTTTAGTTTTTTAACTTTTCCAAAACAGAAAGCACAATTTTAAGTGACTTTTTAAACAATCGCTGTACATGTATTTGCTTTAATATAATAGCATAAAATGCAATGAAAATGTTTTAGTCTTTTGAACACTTAATTTGTCAAAAAGTCTTTGTAAAATAAAAAAAAAAAAACGTTTGCAAGACGGTATGTGTAATGATTGTCCGCTATAACGGCCCCACGTTTTGAAGAAATATTATAATTTCAATTAACAAAAGGGAAATTTATGTATAAGTCAATCATTCAATGCACATAATGTACAAACTAGATGGTTTATTATGAGAAGAAGTTAATCAGGCAATTTTTATTGGACCCTTTTCTGTTAATTTTGTCTGATTCATAAATGTATGTTATGATTGTTTATAAAATAAAATTTTCACGATGCAAGTCTGGACATGAGCAATGGTCCGTTGGTCCGAAAGGACTAGCTATTTTAGCAATCAACTTGACACTTAAATTTTCTGAGCTTGTTGGAAAACTTGTTATTTATTTAAGAAAAAATATAACGCATACAGTGATTTTATCGCTAAATAAAATAACTGTTTTTAGTTGGATGCGAGGAACTATATCAAGAGGGCGTAGCCCGAGTGATTTAAAAAGGTATTTTTCTTTTTATTGATACACTCAGCATATTTACATATGATAAGAGGTGTACAATAATATATAAACAAAATTAATAAATGTGTAATCAGGTTGTGTATACAAATTAAATGAACTACAGTAGTTTTAAAAAGGTATTTATAACTACAATATTTCATAACATACAATGTAACTATGTCATTGTGTACATGCTATATTTTGCAAAATAGAAAAATATTTATAGAAAAAAAAAAAAAAAAAAAAAAAAAAAAAAAAAAAAACAATGTGACTAGCCAGATGGGTTCTTAAAGTATTCAAGTATAACATTAACATATTTAACTAAGTTGCTTAATTTTTGTGGATCTGTTTCACTCATTAATTTTCTAAACGTAAACATATTTTTGTTTTGTTGATTAATTTGTGGTAAAAGTTTTCGTTTATTTTCAAAATAACTACATGAAAAAATGTAATGGAATTCATCACCTATATCATTTGAGTTACCAAGAGTACATTTTCTTTCATTTCTAACAATACCTAACCACCTTCCTCTTTCTATAGGGAGGAGATTGTTACACAATCGAAAATTAACAAATGTTTTTAAATATTTGTCTGACAGTAAACAAAGGTACGGTTCAAAGCAATGATCAGTTTTGTACATTCTATAATTTAAACATTTTGGCATTGAGCAGACATCACTACGCCATTTTTGTACATATTGGTTACACATTGATATATCAATGGTTTTTAACAATAAGCATTTAGAACCACTAAACTTCTGATTTAACCAAATATAACTCATACCTGTATCGTCAAAAATACTCTTAACATTCAATAACCATTTGTACTCCTTACCATTTCTTACAAAATCCTCATATACAAGCTTATAAATATTTGACGATAACTTTTGTAGTGAATTACTGTTAACTAAATCATACCAATAACCAGCAATTCGTTTCTTAATGATAATTAATAATGGAAATCGCCCAAGTTCGCCATAAACCATAACATGCGGTGTACTTTTCTTAACACGTAATACATATTTAAGGAAATCTGTATGCACTTTTTCTATAAGCGACAAGTCACCATAACCCCACACTTCACACCCATAAGTTAAAATTGGTACAATTGTATGATCGAATAACTTTAACTGACAATCAATAGGTAAATCTAGATTTCTTATTTTCTTATATAAACCAAACATTGCCTGTCTTGCTTGATCAACAATATGTTTTTTTGCAACCGCAAATTGTCTGTTCTTAGAAAAAACTACACCAAGATATTTAAACGTGTCTGCCATCTCTAAAACGTGATTATCTACCGTAATATTCCTGTTTCTATTTCTTTTATCACCAAATACCATTACTTTTGTTTTATCAAAGTTTATATTTAATTTCCAGATATGACAATAGTTAGAAAAGGTGTTCAACACAGATATAAGATCTTGTTCTGTTTTAGCAAAAAGAATGGTATCGTCAGCATATAACAAAACAACACAAGTTTCAAAAAAAATTCAATGTTATTATCTTCAAGTATAACTGAAACATCGTTATTACATAACATGTAATTTTCTAAGTCATTTAGTACAGAGAAAAAATTACCGGTGACAAATTTTTCTCCTTGTCTAAAGCCCTTATAACAACCAAAAAAAATTTGAAAATTTGCCATTTACAGATACACATGACTTGATTTCACTGTACATATTTTTATTACATTTTAAAAAATTTCCAGAAATATTGTATTTGACAAGTTTACACCAAACGCCTGCTCTCCATACAGAGTCAAAGGCTTTTTGAAAGTCAATAAAAGCACAAAAAAGTTTTGTTTTCTTATGTTTAAAGGTAATCTGTTAACATGTGGGAGAATAAAAATATTATCAACAGTTGAATGATGCTTCCTAAATCCAGCTTGGTTTGAATTTAATAAATTATAACTTTCTAAATATTTTGTCAATCTTTCATTTAGTATACTTGTAAATAATTTCCCTATACAACTAAGCAATGTAATAGGTCTATAGTTTTCAGGCATTTCAATACTACCTTTATTTTTATAGATTGGTACAATGCATCCTGTCAACCAAGAATCTGGCAAAAAACCAGTGTTAAGAATACAGTTAAACAATTTGTGATAAAGTGGTATAAGTAAAGTACTGCTTCCCTTAATATATTCGTTAGTAACTTGATCCAGACCAGTCGCCTTGTCATTCTTAAGTTTATCTATTGCTCTTTGTATCTCAGAGATTGTTATGCTATCATTAAGCCCATTATCAAAATTAACATTTGGAAAGTCTGTTTCTGGGTTGTCATTTGCATCTACTGTATCTGTATTAAGCTGTCTATAAAAATCATAAAATGCTGAAACATCAACATCAGTCATTTGTTTTTTCTTACTTATACTATTTACATAATTCCAATGTTCTTTAGGCGATGAGTTTTTCATGTTTCGTATTTTCTTTCTCTGCTCCCTTTTAAAATTGACAATACTTTTTCTCATAATATACTTATAATTTTTACTAGAATTATATAAATCAGACATGTTACGTTCATTTTTTGTCCATTGGTATTTTCGCTTACATCTATGATATAACGTTCTAGCATTTCTGCAATCATTATCAAACCAAGGCTGTCTACAGCCATCTGAACTATTTGTTTTCATTTTTTGTATACCAAATGTTTTCTTTGCAGATACAAGGAGTGTATTTTCAATGTTTCGAAAAATAAAGTTAATAAAATATTTATCAATTTCTTCGCAGCTTTCGATTTCTCTTAACATATCATCAACTTTATTACTGTTAATATTGTCAAGAAATACATTTGCTTTGGATTGAGTCCAACCTTTAATTTTCTCATTGGAAGAATAAGACTGCCTTAAATTATTTTCAACAATATGTGATAAATTGAAATTGATTGGACAATGCACATCAGAGTATAATGCGTTAAATTCGTCTATAGTAAAACCGTTAAATAGTTTTAGTGCGTGTGCTGAAGCTATTACATAATCAACAATTGAAGAGTTTTTACAAGTAAAACTACCTACATTTTTATCTGTAAACGACCTTCCGTTTAAAATCACTGTTTCATTCGATTTACAAAAATCTACAAGATCTTTTCCTAAACGATTAGCAACTTTATCCATTGAAACACGTGCTACAGAAAAATCATTTTTTCTCAACTCGTTTAAAATATCTACATCAAATATACTGTTATATTCAATATCTATAATATCAAAAAGTTTTTCATCAACTTGCAATATATCATCAACATTACCAGTTCTAGCATTGAAGTCATCAAATGTAACTATATGTTTATAATTGGTACAGAAATTTTCATACTCTGTGTAAAACAAGTCATATATATTTTTGTTGAAATATTTAGTATTTTCTGGTGGGATGTAAACAGAGCCAAAAAAACATCTTAGTCTGTTTCAAACAAACATTTTGATAATTTAAACCACTGAACATATTCACATTCAGTATCAATCTGGGTGAAGTATTTTCTCAAGAAGTTTTTAACAAAAATCGCAATGCCTCCAGACTTCCTAGCAACTCTTTGTTTCCGATTTTTATAAATACAATAGTAATTTTCAAAATTTATGACATCAAGATCATCAAGATGTGTTTCACAGCATGAAATTATATCAAAAGATGAAAGATAAGATTGAAATTCTGGTATAGTGCTTTTTGAGCATAACCCACAAACATTTAAACTACAAAATGAAATAGATTTTGAATTGCCACCATGGCAAGCCTATGCTGACACCTGTGAATGTGGTCCGTCGGTGTTTGGTTGATTTCCTTGGCCTTTGTTTTTAATATGGTAGGCATCAGCTTTGACTTCCTCTCCTTCAACGTATAACTTGTCCTTGACCAATACCGCCTTTTTCTTTTCCCTCCTTGGGTGTCGTAGTATCGGGTACAATGGGCGACGTTTATCCTCAATCTCCTCCGGGAATTGTTCATGTATACCAAAGTTTGTGCCCTTAAGAAATCGTCTCGATTTACGAACACTCTCCCTGTCCTTAAAGAAACTAAACTTAGCAATGATGGGTCGGGGGATTGGTTTACCTCCCTTGTCAAATCTGACATTTTTGCTAGAGTGTGGTCTAGAACGATGAACACGTTCAAATTGAATCTCCTCTCTGATTTCAAGTTTGTCACGAATAAAGGAGCGCAATACATTTTCACAGTCTTCACCCTCAGTGTAATCGATATTTGTAAAAACCAAATTGTCTCTCATTGCTCTACACTTAACATCTAAAAGCTCCTCTTTAAGACTAGAATTAACAGCTTTCATTTCGATCATTGCGGCTCTTATTTCATCATTTTCACGTGTAATAGTTTTCACAGACAGTTCTAATTCATTTAATTTCACAACATCTGTGTTTCTCTGAACCACCATATCATCAAATTGAGAGCTAACAAAATTAACTGATTTTTCAAATTCTTTACTTGAATTTTCTGTATGCTTTAATCTCTAATCAAAGTCAATAATTTTATTGTTCATAGAATGCACAGATTTTTCAATTTTGTCCAATTTATCAAGTTTATTCAGTTTGTCAAGGCCCTTCTCAAGTAACATCAATTTGGACATTAACGCATCATATTCAGATAACGTAAGAGTTACCTTGCTTTCAGATGTTTTTTGTGAGGCTTGCAAAACTTTTCCTGAGTCTAGGTCAAGATAGGATAAGTCGCCCTCATTATGGCCCGAGGAGTCAGAGCTAAGAGCTGAACGTAGTCTTTTTGCTGCCTGGTTTCGACCCCCAACGTTGTTCTAGGTGTATTATTATCAAATTCCATTTTACCTGAAAAAAATCTGTACAGAGCACGCAATAATAAACAAACTAAGGCAAAAATAAATATTTATTCAGTCAGTTGGGTGTATTTGGCTCTGTTACCTATTATGCACACATGTATTTAATATATCTCTTGTTATTATTATAGTGCGAGTTTAATTATAACCAATAGTGCATTGTTTTCTTTAACATAGCACTACACTACATATTATTCTGATCACAAGGGTGTCTGGTTATAAATGAGTTAATAAAAAAAACATATAAAAATAGCGCAGAGTAAATGATATATATAAGTATATATAAGTACGAGTATAAGTACAAGGGGGACCAATCAAGCTCGCACAGACGTAGGTGTTCTAGATATTGAACCAAAAAAAGAAAACACAAACGATTAACAGTTATCAGTTATTGGTATAATACCCGTCAGCTATTTTATTGTCTATTTGTCTACTGTGTGTACTTGTTTTGTGTTTATTCAACAAAAATAACTGTTTTTAGTTGGATGCGCTGAACTATATCACGAGGGCGTAGCCCGAGTGATTTAACGATGCGCATCCGACGCGAACGACATCGATAAAATCACTGGTTGGGATAATTTATTTCGATTCTAACACATCAACAAATAAATGTTGCCATACCTGTTATCAGGCTAATTGCGCCTGGATTTTGTTCCGTACTGTTTTCAGTGCGTCGGACTTTTAAGTTGTTACGTCAATTGTATAATGATTACGTCATATATTTAAATATAGAAAGTCAACAGTGATTTTATTATATATTCTAACTCCACATTATTATGTAACAAAATCACTGTTGACGTTCTATTTTTAGACATATGACGTAATCATTATTGTTGATATCGAGTATGAAATAGCCCTGATAATATAAAGCAGCAAAGAATATCAACGCCTGAATCCCAGGCTATGCAGACTGCAACAACCAGGTCATTGCTCATGGGGTCAAGATCAAAGTAAAAGGTCAAATGTTCACATTTCACATCTGCTCTACAACTTACTAACTTGGCTTACAGATAGTTTTTAAATGACGCACGACGCGAAAAACCCGGTCGTAATGACATTTTTTTTTCTTCAAAATTTGGTTTTTATCTCATTTTTGTAGACATTTTTCTGAATAAGATAGTGAAAACTATTTTTAAATCAAAAGGTTATTTAATTAGATATACCTTTTTAAAGAACGTCATATAATTGAACACTTTATTAACAAATGACGTCGAAAAAATTAGTTGACGCTTATTTATTGAAGAATTTTAAAGCGGCAATTTTATTTATCTTAAATAAACTTAATTAGTTTGATCTGTAAAAAATGTAGTTTCAAAGTTTCATGTACACACATGACAATTTGAATTCTAGCACATAAGCATACATTACATAAAGAGGCATAGCATGCACATGAAAATAATAATATTAATACAATTCATCTTTAAGTTAACAAAATGGAGAAGGACACGCATTTTCAAGGACATGATGAACAAAAATGTAGAAATCTATTATCAAATTTTGTGATTATGTCCTCAACAAATAAACAAAAATTACTATATTAATTACAATGAGTTATATTCATATTCAAATAGATTTAAAAGTTAATACAATTTTAATGTCGTACATAATAACGATTTAACATTCTTTTTCTAAGTACGATAATTCATTGCATTCAAAGAGATAATGAAATTCATCTTCAATACTTTCGGAGCTGTTACAAAGTGTACATTTACGTAAATTAAAATCTATACCATTCCAACTTCCGGTTTCTACAGGAAGCCTGCTGTTTGTTGTTACATATCTTACTAAGTTTTATGATATATTTGTTAAATAGGATTCTAAATGGAATTTTTCTTTAAATCATTTATAATGTTTCCATTTACTCGATTCTGTACAATACCAGTCATTAAGAAATAAATCTGACAATTTTTGATTCACATTGGCAGTTAACCGCTTATGATTAGGAAACATCTAATAGGTCCGTACATTGGGGATTCAACATTTGATAAGTATATTTTTAATATGATTAAAGCACAGAAATGTCTGTCTATTAACATTTCTTCTTGTTTATAAGTTTTAAGAGCAATTAAATAAAATATGCTAGATAGTTTTAATTCATTAGGTACAACTAGATCAGACCAAAAATTAATTATTCTGCAATCAAAATCAATAGAAATTGGTATAACACCACATTTTACGTACACAATACAAGTTGGTGTACTAGATTTAAGGCCTAATATATGTTTAAGATATTTCATTTGTACCTTTTCAAGTAAACTGTTATAACCATATCACAAGCATTCACAACCATATCGTAAAATTAATTTTACAAGTTTGTCAAACAAATCTATTTACATATTCAAAGTTACTTGAAGTTTTTTTTATATTTTTCAATTAAACAATACAAGACATTTAGTGCTTGGTAAGCTATATAAGTCTTTCCTTTTAAGAAACTACCACTTCTTCTAAATAATATTCCTATGTGTTTGAATTCATCATGGACAACTTCTACAGTTTCATTACCATATTTAAAACTATGCTGCGCTCGCCTACCATTTACAAGAACTTTTGTTTTGGATGTATTCACTTTTACTTTCCAGTTGTCACAGTAATTTATAGGCTGATAGCAATTTGTAAATCGTTTGCTGAATCAGATAAAATAACAGTGTCGACAGCATATAGAATAATAAACAATTTCGCAATGCCAAGTACTTCTTCATTAAATGTTACACCTTCTATACTATTACCATTTGCAAAATAGTCATGCAAATCATTCAAATAAAAGAAAAGAAAGCAACGGCGATATATTAGTAATTATAATTTAAAGTTAAGTAAATAAGAGACTTCTCGCTAATTGCAACTATTATCGTTGCTTAGCAACGTAATAACAACGCGAACGAGCGTGTCATACACGGCTAATCATTTGTATTTTAACCATTACCATGCTAAATATCTTCAATCTGGACAAAGCCATTCATCATTTTCAAAATATTTAATGACTGAAAAGCAAATAATGCAGACCACGATCATAAGGCTATAAGTATATACCCAATACAAAGAAAGAAACAAACAATAGTATAGTATTACGTATTTTAACGTTTAATATCTTTACGACATTGAAAAATAATAAACAAATAAATAATTTCAAAATGCTTCGATTACTCTTTTATTCTTTAGAACATAACAGTGTAGAAAATTGTAAAACAGTTCAATAATACCGTATGATGAAACAAGTAGTTTGAAATATGTATATGCACTAAACTGTTATAACAGTGCACCAAAATCACTGATGACTATGATAACAACTTGAGATTTTTCAAAATAGGTTTGAATTTTAAATTATAGATAATAGTCCATGTGAATAATCAATAACCCACATGAATCACAATAATTTCTATAGATTTTTTTCGGAATATGTCGTTTATGCTCCGTTGATAAAAAGAGTGGGACAGGCCTTTCATATTTCAGGCTAATTATCATATTTTGTCCTTGGCAATTTCAAAATCAACTATTGTTCAACGGCCATTATAATAGTCAATCTTTTTTTAATCTATAGTAAATTGAACTCAACCAGACAGATTGAGCGTAATGTACCTTGAAGATAGAAGAAGAAAAAACAGCGCATTTGAACCTTATTAAAGCAACGATCGTTATAATTACGGTAAAAAAACACAATATCACCTGAATAGGTAACATATGGTACTAGTTAATGCTTTTTAATTCTTTAATTCGGTCAATATATGCTTCAAACCACAAAATATATAGTATTTATACAGAAATTCATGCTAGGACTTTAGAGAATGACATTCTAGCATGATTTGAGTAAATAACATCAATTTACTATTTTTTTGTCATTCATTTGTCTAAGTATCCCTTTAATTAATTCTATAAAATTTTCTTTAAAGATACTTACTTCAAACTCCTCCTCTTCCTCAAAATTCCGACGTAGGTAAACTTTAAAAACTTTAATAACACATGATCTAAAAAGCATTTCCGTGTTATCATGTGTTTACGCAAGAAGAGTGACGTCATTTTAATCGCTGTAGTGCACTTTTATTGGCGTGTCATTAAAACCGTTTTTCTCGCGTTGTGCGTCAAATTATTTTGTCGAAATGATCACCATCATGATACACTGTGCAAAACACAACGTCCAGGTTGGTACCAACATGGTCAAGGTTAAAAGTTCTCCATAATCTTTGGACTTTATGGAAGATTTTAAATAACTTGGCACAAATAATCATCATCATGAGACTATATGCTTATGATATGCATGGCACAACATCAAGTTCATGGTTGGTATAAAGTCAAGAAGTACAAATTCATAGCTGCTGCGGAAGGGATTAAGCTGTCCTTAAGACTGCCTTGTTCTTTCTTGTTGCATACGTTTTTTTGTAACATCGGTTTTCTTCTTTCTTTTTTAGTTCCATTTGTTGTTGTTAAGTGCTGTCATCTTTTTAAATTTTCTCTGAACTTCCTTACTGTTTGCTTTGATGAAGTTGTCTTATTCTACTCTGTTTTTGATCTTTTATATTTCTTATTGACCTTCCTCTGGCTGGAAGACAGACTTTTATTTGTCCATGCTTATTTTGCTATTTGTTCTGTAGAAA